GTCGGTCAGTCACTGTGTTTGCCTGCCCATCTCTCTCTCACACACACAGAGACTCACTGTATTTCCCTCTATTTCTTTTATCTCATTTTCTCTGTTTTTCTTTATCATGTCTCGTCGTTCATTTTCGTCTTTGTTCGAAAGCAGAAAGGAGCTTCCCCTTGTTTCATCTGTCTTGCGTCATTGGTTTTCATATCTCCAGTGGCACCATTTGGTCGGTGGTTGAAGTGGGTGTCTGTCCTGAGAGTCCTATGTTTGAAATGAAGAATCATATTGTGTTGTGGATAACCTGTAAGCGCGGTGTCGGCTGCACCAAAACATTTATTTCTTTCTCCTTTTTCGGTATCCTCTCTACCTATCATGTCCCTGCTGACTCGCCGGAGCTTCCCTCTATCTAGTCGTTTTTTTCGTCTAATCCGAGTCTGCCGCATTGTCCAACGATGGGTGCGAACGATAAAATAATATTAGTCATCGCTTTCCTTGCTCTCCTCTCTATCTACGTACTCTCCCAAATCTTCGCCATCCTCTCTCTCTTGCTCATCACTTCCTCATCTCTCTTATCTCTCGCCTTCATCTCTCTAATTCGGCGGGTTCCCGGTCTCACTCCACAGTCTCTCTCTCCTATTCATATCTATCTCTCTCTCTATCTCATCTACAAAACAAGAAAGCGATCTCATCGTCATTTGCAATCTATGTATGATAAAAGTAGATAGGGTGGTAGGGCGAGGAGCGGCAGCGAACAGCACACAGGACACACACACACACACACACACACAACACGACACACACACCCGAAAGACACACAACAGAGACCATATAGTATGATATATAGACGGTAGATATAGTGTAGAGGTATGGGTACTGAAAGGGTTGAGAGAGGAATTAGTAGAAAGGTCTGGAAAAAGAAGAGATAGGAGGTGAATGAAGAGAGTAAATAAAATAATAGTAGGAATATACATACATATAACTCAATAAATAAGTAATAGTAATATATATAGAGAAGTAGATATTATAGTAATAAATTAATAGAAAATAAAATATATAGTAACATATCTAATCTCTATTGCCGAGACACTGAGCATCCTTTGAACATATTCGCAATATTTCCCTACTTTTCCATTCCCATGTTGAGATCATTTCACTGTTTTTCATCACATTTATGATGCCACTTATAAAGATTACTCATCTGAAATAAAATAGTAGTATAGATTTACTGTTGTGATGTCATTCTAAAGTGGGTTGAAGAGTGCCAAAGGATAAGTGCCATCTATAAAAGACCGTATAAAAATAACCATCATCCGTTGCAATTATAGTAATTACGTGCACAGGTGTCTTGTTGCTAATGAACGATTACCCTCGCCATAAAGAAGTGTTCCTTGTAATTATGTGTTTACGCCTCTAGCACGAGCTCCGTGTCTTGAGTCTGTGCTGGGCCGTGTTTGCCTGAGTATATATAAAACGTGAATTTATTATCATGTCTTAGATCTCGACCAAGAATGATGGAGAGAGGCTGTGTTTGGATTCTTTCTTTGATCTTGTCTTTCCTTGGATGTCGGCTTTGCTATTTTTTGTTTTTTTAGACATCATGCTGATATTCATGCACATTTGAAAGGATGTGAGGAGGGCGCGTGTTTGTGTCTGTGTCTCTGAAGTATGTTTGTGTATATTGTGAGTTTTCTTTGTGTACATTGTGTGTGTAAGCGACTATATATGCTATTGTTTATTTCTTTGTTCTTTGTTCTTTTTGACTATTTTTTTCTGTTTCCTTTAGTTTTCAAACTGCTACCCCTGCTGTCCAATATTATTTGTGTCTTCACCATCTTCTCTTTTTCATGAAAATCTTGTGTTTTCCTCTTTTACTATTCTCATATCGACAACTGTGACTGTCAATTTTAAGCCCATTTCCCTAATGTATTACCCCCGCCTTCTTCTCTCATCTCTTTCTCTCGTCAAATAATCACATACACACACAAAGTATTTATTGATATATATGAGATAGCAATGTGTAAAATTAATAGTATGAAGATATAATAATAATATATATATCATAGAGTAGTTGAGTATATTAATAGTATAGATATATACATATATATATATATAGCTTACACTATATATACAATTATATATAGTAAGATTATTAACCTATAGAACAAATTGCTAAGAATGAGATTAGATAGATGTAATGAGAGAAGATATAAAAAAATGGTAGTAGAAAAATGAATAAAATACAAAATATATAAATTTATGATATAAACTTGTGAAGTAAGTAACATTCATAGAAATAACAGGCCTATTGAATAGATGGGTAACCAGAAAACAAGTAGCACTAAACAAGATGATTAATAGACAAAGAGAGAGAGAGAGACCTCCATAAATAAACACATTACTATCAATAGCATTTTTAGGAAACACTCGTGTATTTAATCATTTTTTCCTCGTATTTCACATACTATACGTGGTGTCAGCATAATTCTGAAACAATATGATTACACGAAAATACCGAATGATCTGCGCAGAGAGTAGTGATGAATGCCTCCGCTTCCACCTTCTCCCGCAGGCGGATATATTCCACATCAGTAGCCATGAAGGTGGAGTAAGTGAGGATAGGCTATCATAGTGTACGACGTTCTTCTGCTGCACACTCAAGAGCAGTGCACTAGGACGAGCAGGTATCAAACGAGCTATACATAAGCGTTGCAGAAGACAGAACAGTATTTTTTTGATTATTACTTCTTCTGTTTGTATTGATTTTTTATTATGTTATATTATATTACTATCCTTCGTTTTTTTATTGTTTGTGGATCTCTCTTTCTCTTCTCGTATTTTCCCCTCACTTTTATCAGTTCTCTCCTCTCTTCCTCTCTTCTTCATTGTTCACAATTCTACCCTTTCTCCAGCACATCCAAGATCTCTAAAATCGAAAGAGATAAAAAAATACTCTTCTTCCCGCCTCTAAAAAGAGGAAGTAAAATCTGACAATTCTCTCTGATCCTCCAATAGGCGCCAGATTATAGCTATGTTATTTTAATTCGTTATTTAGACGTGCATATGTGTGTATCCTCAGACCTGGGCAGGGCGCGCGAGCTCGAGCTCTACACACTCGAGTGACGGTGAACCTCTGGGACGAAGGCTCCAGGATTTGGCATACAACGTGTCCTGACACCGGAGAAAGTTTCGAGAAACGTCCTGCTTCGTTTCTTCTCTCGTGTTTATTGGCTTATGTGGCTGGGTGGACCTATAACTTAATGCTATTGTGTGCATCTGAGTAAGCCATGAACTGTAGCGATGCATATATGATGATATATATGTGTGTGTATATATGAGTAGTGTAAGTATATACTATATATAACATATATATACAATACCGTGTCCTTAATATATAGTTATAACATATATATATATATATATATATATAATATATATATAATACGGTTAATTGTAAAGTAGGGCTATAGCGTAGGTGAGAGTATATGGTCATTTATCATATGAGAACCTTATATAGTAGTATATATATTAGAGTATCAGGGTGATTACTCATCTATTAGTACTATATTACTAGGTAAGTAATAAATAACTATATAAAGTATATATATTAAATTTTTATAGTATATGATGGTATTATATATATATACTATTTATATAGTGTACTTTAGCTATATATTATATGTTGATAGTGTTTATATATATATATAATATATTATGTTCATTAGATATATTTCTTTCTATTGTTTTATGCGTTTGAGCACTTAAAGAGGTGCATTTGTGTGTCAGAGCGCGTGTAAGTGGCTGTCTGCCCGCGTGCGCCAGACAGCCAGGCCTCCAAATAAAGCGAGGAATCAGACAGCGCCCCTAAGCAAACATGCCTTCAGCCGCAGCGCCAGCAACAGCAAACAGCAACACAGCAACATCAACAGGCTATACAGTCCCTATTCCGAGCGCCGCGTGCGTACGGCCGCTGAGTGGAGGGTTATGGATTCTGTGATGAAGATGTGGATTTAATTAACGTCGTGCAAGTGCTGGTGATTTCGAGTGGTTTTGTGGGCTGGCGCATCCCTCTCCCGCCGCCCGTATTGTTGGCGGAGTTTAGCCATCAGCGTGTATGCAGGGTCTTCGATTCCGATTAGGATTTTAGTATGCGTGGAGCGCGCTCTCTCTCTTCTATCTATCTATTCTCTCTCCTCTCTCTCGTCTCTCTTCTCTCCTCTCTCTTCTCTCTCTCTCTCTCTCTCTCTCCTCTCTCTCTCCTCTCTCATCTCTTCTCATCTCTCTCTCTCTCTCTCTCCTCTTTCTCTTTCTTCTTTCTCCCCCCTCTCTCCTCTTCCCTTTCTCCCCCCTCTTCTCTCTCTCTCTATATTTCTCTAACTGTCAATCAGACCCGAAGATGGACCTTGTCTCACTTTCTTCAATAGATCTAGTTTGCGCATTGTGGGTTTCTCTACCATAGTATCAACACGGTAGAGTGTTTTTCCATTCAACTATCAATCTATTTGTGTTTCTTTCTATCTATCAGTATCCCCCTTATCATCTTTCAATTACTTAATCTCTCTATCTATATTTGCATCTGCCTGCTTATTTCTCCATTTGCGACCTTTTTATGTTGTGAAAGCAGCATAGTGATACAAACTGCAATTTCACTTAGGATTATAGCATCATCATTCCTCTGACATATGCGCTTTAGTACGTTCATTCATTGCAAAAATGCATTCCAATTAGAACGCGCTTTTTAATACCATGTTGATGCGTAGTTTCCATGAGCGATAATCATAAAAGCATAAGGGTTATATGTGTGTTTGATATCAGAATGTGTCGATAAAGTGCATATTTAAAATCTAAGCCTAAGATTGCTATAGATGAAAATTTCGATGCGTTATTTCATTATACAGTTCAGCCAAGAGATCTCAAGCAATGACCAGCATCACATTATCAATCAATCCAAGAACACAGTCACCTTTACCTAGCCATTGATTCACAAATAGCATCCCTGTCTACCAGAATATGCTAAAACACCAACCCCAGCGTGTGTCCCTTTCCGAAACAATCTAGACCAGGGTGTACGAGAGGCCTGGTCGGTGCCGCCCATGCTTCACCTTTCTTGAATACGATGATCTCTCTCCATCCTTCCCCTATATAAGGAAAATCTTCTTTTGAGCGCAGTGTTTCCCTCGGAGTAATTGGACTGCCTCGGGGATCCAGCCAGAGCGAAATGACAAAGTTTGTAGAGGGGAAAATAGTTATATTATATGAGAGAGTGAGGGAGGGAAGGAGAGAGAGAGGGAGAGAGAGGGAGAGAGAGAGAGAGAGAGAGAGAGAGAGAGAGAGAGAGAGAGAGAGAGAGAGAGAGAGAGAGAGAGAGAGAGAGAGAGAGAGAGGAGAGAGAGAGGGAGAGAGAGAGAGAGAGAGAGAGAGAGAAGAGAGAGAGAGAGAGAGAGAGAGAGAGAAGAGAGAGAGAGAGAGAGAGAGAGAGAAGAGAGAGAGAGGAGAGAGAGGGGGAGAGAGGGAGAGATGAGAGAGAGATGATAGATAGATAGAGAGAGAGAGAGAGAGAGAGAGAGAGAGAGAGAGAGAGAGAGATGGTTGAATGATACGTACATAAAATGTTATATACCTAAGCGGTTATTAAAATGCGTGAGAAGGTAAATCGATAGATAAAGATCTAGGATACCCCACAATGTTATACACGGTAAGAGTATGTTTATATCTCACTGTTTGTTTACGTGTTCATGTGTGCATTAGGGGTGTTTGTTTGTCTGTTTGCGCTTGGGGGGCGTGCTACATATCTTTGTAAATATATATCAGTGGGTTCTATGATAGAATGAAGGGAAGAAACGATGGAAAAAGCTGAAAAAAATGCACAAACAAACGGTACCATAAGATATCCAACATCAGCTCACGACAGCTGCAAAGATTACAGTGCATAAGTATACGATACTTGCCATCTAACTGTTCGATAACAAATACCAGGTCTTCAGGGGGAGAGACTGACGGATTTAAAACAAAGTTGCAACGAACCACTTGCAATGATATTATCGGGAAATTATTTTTCTTCTCTCCCTCAAGAGTTAAATGGAAGTCATTGCATCGCAAAAAAAAAAAAAAAAAAAAAAAATATCAATGACATATTTGATTGTAGGAACCCTCAAAAAATGTGTAAGCCAAAGTATGACTGAATTCGCAAAAAAATAATAATAAGTAATAAAAGATAATAAATAAATAAATAAATAACATGATTAAATAGATCAATAAAATAATATTAATACCATATATGATTTGGATTGCACAAGTTATTCAAGTAATTGTAGAATTCGTAAAATTTGGATATTCACGTATAAAAGGAAAGCCTCTTCACGCAAAATTCAACTATTGGTTCTACGAAGTAATGGTTTATGCAATTAATGCCAGTCACTGCTGAGGGTAAACAGAGAAAGGAATGCGTATGTAATGGTTCGGGATCTCAAAGGACGTTCGGTTTTATTTGTGGATTAGGAGTGAATCACGTATACGGGTATAAGATTTGAGGGATTCGGGATTTAAGGATATTCGATTTAAGGGAACAGGAGGCAAGGTTTTAGCGGTCGAGAAGAAGGATACGAAAGGATGATCTCCGTTAGATGGAATGTACGAAGGCAAGTTTAGTGTCTCTCAAATGACGTCAGGTGCGGCCTTCGCGCAGGGATAGAGAGAGCGATATCGGAAAATCTAATTTATCTGATGTAAAAAATGGCATTGATAATTTCATTAGGGAAACGATTAATGAAATAAATGAATAACACACACACACACACACACACAACACGCACACGCACACACACACACGCACACACACACACACACACACACACACACACACACACACACACACACACACACACACACACACACACACACACACAGCACCGCACACGACGAAAAGAGTGTGCAACTTGGAGCTAAATAGCTTCCCTCTTTTTTGACCGCAGCTTGTTCTCTATATCATTGACAACCTTCAACATCTTACACTCACATCTACATCCGTCATCCTGTGTTATTTATAGTATGTGTGTTGGCCATCCGTCCTCAGGTACACCCTAATAGATTTTTCAAAGAATACCCTCCTTTGCCCTCCACAAAGTCGATTTTTCCCCTTACTGAAAAAAAAAAAAAAAAAAAAAACGCTCCTGCCTTTTCATTTCCTTCTTCCTCGGCGGGCCACTCTTCCTCAGAGAGGCCTTCCCTTACCTTCTCCCTTTACCTTACCTATTCCATCCTTCTGCCATAACCTCTTTGTTTTATATTCTTCCTTGACCTCTCTGTCTTCCCCTCTGCCACTCCCCTTTCCTGCACCCCCCCCCCTTCTCGTATTCCTTCATCTTTCACCGATCCTTCACCTCTCCTCAACTCTTTCCCTTCTTCCCTTATACTTTCCGCTCTCTCCTTCTCCTTCTCCCTTCCTGAGCCCTCCTCCCCTTCTTCTCCAGCTGCCAGTACTCGCCCGGTGTTCCTCAATACTCCATTTCCTTTCACTTTTTCCAATCTCTTTCTCCATCTTCTCCGCTATTCTGCTCTTTTTCTCTCCTCAATATTGCTTCATCTTCTCCCTCTCGTTACCCTTACCCTTCTTTTTCTTCCCCAAACCCGTTCGCCTCACATCCCTTTCCCAACCCCCCTCATTTCCCTGTCCCTCCCCCCGCTCTCTCAACTCACCCTCCTCTTTTCCTTCGGGCAAACCTTTTTCTTTTCTTCATCTCATCTCTTTTTCCTTCTCTGTTCTGCAACTCTCCCCCCCCCCACTCCCTACCCCTTCTCCCTCCATCCTCTCTTCCCCCTTCCCTTCCCTGATCCATTCCTTACCCCTCCTTCCTCCACCCCCTGCGTCTTTCTCCCCACTCCTGACCTTTCTCTCTCTCCCCACTCTTTACCCCTTCTCCTCCACCCCTTACATCCCTCCCTCGTCCACTCCTTCCCCCTTCTCCCTTTCCCACTCCTTGCCTCTCTCCCCTACTCCTTGCCCTCCCCCACCCCCACCCTCCCAGTGCACCGTCCGAAGCTTTTTCAACAAAAGTCGTTACCATTATCCCCGCTGTTGAATTTAATTATATTTCAAACCCGTCGCGGGTTTTAAGCACTGATGATAATTCGAATTGTGGTTATTATAATTGATTTTTTTTTTTTTTTTTTGTATTTGGAATATCAATTATTTATTTTTTTCGAGAGAAGGAAGCCAGACTGAAGCGTTGTTTTGTATCGTTGAGCCGATTAAAGGATGAAACTACGTGGGTGTGATGAAGAGGGAGGGGGGGAGAAAAGGAGGGGGGAGGGGCAGGAGAATGAGTCTAAATCTGCATTGTACTTCGATATTCATTGATTTTTTCTTATTCTTTATTTATCTATTGATTCCTTACTGTTCTTATTGTTATCATCCTCAGTCTTATCAACAATAGCAGTACTACTATTATCATCTTTATCGCAGTTGTTTCTACTCCTCAACCAGTGCTTCCTCCTTGCCCCCCCCCCCCCCCCCCACCTGCGCCTCGTTTAGCCTTGGAACCTTCTCAGGCAAGGGTGCGGAGCCGAAGCTTAGTCGAGAACATTCAAAGCTATAAAAAGGCGATATCTTTGTTATGATCTTTAATTTTTTATCTGTTATTATTATCATTATTATTATTGTTATGATCATTATTGTTATTGTTATTATCATTATAATCATTACTGTCAACGATGTGGTCAAGCCGGATGGTTCCCCTTGCACCTTGGCCCTACCAGCTGCCCTCCTTCCTGGCATCGCACCTTCTTCGCCCAAGCACTTTCTCCCCCTCGAGCAATTCCGGCGAACTCACCCCCTTGTCACGGCCGGAGGAACTGACACCCCAAAATACAGAAGCAGGCACCAGCCCAGGACAGGAGTCGCTGGATAAGAGACGTCTCGTCAGGCAGACCGGGAGGCCGAGCAGACAGGAGACCAGGAGCAGACCTAGAACAGAGCAGGGCCCTCCGACCTCGGCACCCGGGCCACGGGGCTTCTCATGGGGTCACACCTTTACCTTCCCCAATAAGCCAGCAAGCCAAGACCCCATCATTATTACTAATAATAATTATTATTGATAGTTGCAATTGTTATTATCCTCACCATTATCATTACAATTATCTTTGTTGTTATTACCATGATCATTATCATTCAGTAGTAGTGGTAATGATTCATTATTCCTCGAATCATTATCATCATCATAATCACCACCAACACCCTCACATTCACCACAACTCACCATAACACAGCGACCTAGTCCAAGGAAACCTTTCTCGCTCTTTGTTATTAGACTCGAACCTCAAAAAATGTTCCCGAGATCTTTGGCGTGTGGGAGGCGGCCTCATTCCCGTCGCCCCTCATCCTTTCCGAGGGCGGCTTCGGGTGACGCCGAGTGCCCCTTGAAGTTCCCTCAGTATGGGAATGGCAACAGCTTGGAATTTCTCCTGCATGGTAGTTATTATTATTGTTATTTTCGCTATTATCGTCAGAAATTTTTGATGCGTCTCCGTCTTAATCAAGGTATTATCATCACGGTAATTAAGAATTTTATTGTTATTTTCGCTATTATCATCATGGTTACCGTTATTATGATTGATAATCTATGATGATAATGATAATGATAACAACAATAATGCATATCATTTTTACCATTATATCATTGTTATTATATCCATATAAATCATTATTAGTATTATTATCATTATTATCGTTCTTGTTGCTGTTGCTGCTGTAGTTTTTGTTGTTATTACTATTATCATTATCAGAATTATTATTTGTTATTATTCTTTTTATTGTCGTTATCATTATCATTTTCGATTATTTTTTATAATTTGTTTTTTTTATTATTATTATATTTTTTGTTATTACTATTATCATTAGCATTATTATTTTTATCATCACTATTATTATTATTATCATTATTATTGTTATTATTATTATCATTATTATTATTATTATTATTATTATTATTATTATTATTATTATTATTATTATTATTATTAT